AAAAACGGGGGTGGGAGGGTGGGGAGGGAAGTGCACGGGATCATGGTGATGGCACATGGATGACTTGGTGATGGGAAACCCTCAGGGATTACAATTGAGATGGGAAAAAAATGTACAAAATGATGTAAAAATAAACTGTTATTAAAAAAAAAAAAAAAGCCCTCTCCCTCCTCACCCCAAGTTTCATAAGGAGCCTCTGCTTTTACCTCTGCATGTGCGATCCTATAATGACAGCCCAGGGCGAGTTCTAATCCCCCTCCTAAAGCCACACCTTGGATTGCTGCCACCACAGGCTTCTTATTTTTCTGTATTTCATCTACTATATATCCCAGTGAGATACCAGCAGTCTTAGCAGAACTGAAACCACGGATATCAGCACCTAGAGGTACAAATATAAAGAAAAAAGGAAAGTGAGAAAGCCATGGGCTATATTATATAATAACAAGTTACCATATAACTCTTAGGGAATCTCAGACCCACTTGAACCAATAAAGCATTTCATCCTATGGCTGGAGAAACAATAAAGGAGCAAATAACCTGGGAAATGTGAAACAACATAAGAGAAAATCCTCAAATCTTTGCAAGAATCCTGTAGTCTTCTAAAATCTCTTTCTGTATGAGGTAGCAATTCTACGTTTAGAAAAAATAATAAAGCACAGGGACCAGGAATTCTCTAATAAAGACCATTATTCTGAGATTGAGTCAGCCTTTCTCATTTTCTGTGTAATGATGCTCATCTCCCTGACTCACAGTAATCTAGAACCACCTCTTAGTAAGATCTGGGTAAAATCTCAGGGTAAAATGCACACAATGTCTGTTACTTGTTAATCAACCAGCTTAGTATTCTGGTTGGTCATTGATATTTTTGGAAATTGATTAAAGTAGCAGCATTGATTTGCTTTTCCTAATTATAAAAATAACATGCATTATAGACAACTTTAAAAATACACAAAATTGGGCCCTCCCTGCACTAAGAAGCTTAAGCCACCTCTGCATGAGTTCAATCCCAACCTGCCCAGTACTTCGTTGATCTGCCTGTTCTGCTCCCCACTCTGTCCCTGGTGAATCCTCTCACCCTCCACATCTCTGGCCTGTACCCCAGTTCTGTATGAATAAATAAATAAATCTTTAAAATAAATTTTTAAAAATACACAAAATTATACAGAATATAAAGATCAGCTACCACTGAGATAATACCAACAATTTTGGTGAATTCCTGGTTTTTCTTCCAATGAACATAAAGAAAAGTGACCTTGAATAAGGTATTTAACATTTTTTTCTGATACCTACCTTAAAAAAAACCAATGTAATAAATAAAAGTGTACTATAATTTATATTTTAGCAGTCTCTATATTCTGCAAAATCTTTTAGACTTTGTTTTTCACAAATATTATACATGTTTCTGGGAAAATATCCTATCTATTCTTTGAAAACATTGTTTGGTACAAGTTTAAAAGTTAAGTTAAAGTAAGATGTCATAGCCTATTCATCTTTTTCACTTGCTGTGTATACCTTCTCTAGCATCATTTTGCATTTTTCTCACTGAAACATCGTATTTCATCATTTTACTCTAGTGGGTTTTTTTTTTCCAGATTATTTTGATTCTAGAGAAACATGAATTTCTGTCTGAATCTCAGAACTATCATTCCAGTAACAGTTCTCATGTGTGGGTAAGCTATTGTCCCAAGTTGCTTAATATAGTCTCATTTGATTTTCTTAATACCTAATACATTAAGTAGTATAACAATCCCCATTTCACAGGTAAAAGAAGACTGTGAATCACAGGTAAAGAAGTTAAGACTGTGAATGTTAAGTTACTAGTTAAGACATATGAGGAGTAACTGGTAAAATAAGGATTTGAACTCAGGCAGTTTGACTACACAGGCCTCGTTCTTAAATGTTATATACATTCTGTCACATGCTGGATGAAGTTAGTATTATTATTAACCTAATTTTACAGAAACCAAAGCACATATAAGAATATCATGATTTCATTTTTTAATTATATATTTCTGAATACAGAAATTTATTAATTTTTTAGGTCATTGCATTTATATCCAGAAAAACTGCTAAATTTTCTTATTCTAATAATTTTTTGATAGATTATTGTGATTTTCTGCAAACTTCCATATTTTCTAAATAATCAAATTTTGTTTATTCCTTTCCAAGAGCTACTTGGTTGGTCAAGACCTAGAATACACAAAGTTAAATACAATTGGTGATATTAGTTTACTAATAATTTTTCTCTTTAATACACACTAAATATCAAGGTTTTTTTCTGAGCATTTTGAAATAATCACGATTTTTTCCTCTTAAAGTCACTAAATAGATGAGTTACAACAATCTTCTAATTTTTATAAACCTGGTATTTCTGGATAAAGTGTATAGTCACTTGTAATAAAGCTCTTTTGTTAGATTCAATTTATAATACACCATTTCAGATTTTTATATCTATTTTTATTGGCTTATCAGTTTGTTTCTTTATACTGCCCTTGACTGGGGTTAATACGAAGATTCAAAAAATGAGTTGGGACGTATACTGGGTTGAATGGTGTCTACCATAACCTGTGAACATGTCTCAATTTGAAAATAGGGTCTTTACAGTAGAATCAAGTAAAGATGAAGTCGTCCCACATTAGAGAGCTCCTACACAAAATCAGTAAAATTGGAACACAGAAGAGAAGGTCATGGGAAACAAAGGCAAAGACTGGAGTAGCAAAAAGTTAGGGAAAGCCAAGGATTACCATCAGCCACAAGAAGCTAAAAGTGCCAGGAAGGATTCTTCCCTAGAGCTTTTGGAGTCAAAAGCAAATAACTTGCAAATAACTTGATTTTAGCTTTTAACCACCTAAACAGTAAAAGAATCAATTTCTATCATTTTATATCATCTAGTTTTGTGATCATTTGTTACAGCAGCCCCAGGAAACTATTAGAGAAAGAGTTCCGTCTTATTGTATATTGAAGTTTAATTCACATATAGTAGTAAAGTAGTTTCAGGTGTACAACAGAATGATTTGATAGTTGTGTACATTATGGGATTACCTCTTTTTTTATTCTCTAAAATAGTTGTGTAAAAAATAGAATAATTTCCTTGACTTTTCAGTAACAGCTCGCCAATAAAATAAGTGCGGTTGAATTTTCTGTGGGGTTTCTGTTTCTTTAATGATTTTTATTTCTTCTTGAGTCAATTTTAACTGTTCTACTTGCTCATGTCTGCATTTTTTTTTTTTTTTTGAGTGAAAGCATCTTCTGCCGATTGTACCAGCAGGTCTTTATATATACATTACAAGCAGTAGTGGGATTACATCAGTGTGTGTGCATAAAGCAGAATGATAACAACCATCACATTTTTCTTAAATGTGACTTTTTGATCTCTTATTGAGACTGTGATATTCATACACAAAATGTTCCTATAGTGACCAGTCATTAAACAAGTATTCTTATGGTGATCAGTCATCAAACAAAATATTCCTATTGTGCCTGCATTATTTTTTAAATAACTGTAGCATCTGCAGTGATATCTCTGGCATTCTTTATATATTTGTTTGTGCCTTCTCTTTTTTATTGCTCAATCTCCCCTGATTACCTGTCCATTTTAGTAGTCTTTTAAAGAACGAACTTTCGACATTTTTATTTCTCTTGATTCACCTTTCTTTTCTACATCGCTAACATCTTATTCATTCCTTCTACTTCATCTGGATTTATTTTACTGTTTGTTGTATTAGTTCCTTAATATAAATGTTTAGCTTATTATGTTTCTTTTTCTTTTCTGATATATATCTTTAAACAAAGTTTTGCTTTATATTATTTCTTAAGTTATAGATGTTGTGTTTTCATTATCATTGAGTTCAAAATATTTTCTAAATCATATTAGAATTTTGTTTTTACTCAGAATTTATTAAACATGAATTTAATTTTTAAATGTCTGAGAATTTCTATTTACATTTGTTATTGATTTCTAATTCAATTGCATTGTTGTTAAAGAAATATTTTAAATATAATTTTCTGAGACAAACTTACATGGTATGGTATCTGGTCAATTTTGATAAATGTTTCAGATCTGAGAACAATGTTTATTTTCATTACAGTGCTAACAGATTGTATTATAAACATCAAGTTTGGTAAAAGACTAGATTGCAATTGTTCCCACCACTAGAAGAAATGACAACTGAATAGAAATAAAGTGGTAGAGGTGTTGACTAGTTCTACAATGGCAATCACAATCTAATATAAATATATCAAACCAATATGTAGTACACCTTAAACTTATGCATGTTTGCATGTCAAGTCTACCTAATTAAAAAAAAAAGAATGTTTTATTTATAATGCTGGAGGGCTCGTTCTATCTATATTTATTAAGTCCAGTGTCATTCTATCTATAACCTCTAATTCTTTTCTAGGAAAATGTTATTGCCTCTGAATTCTCACTTGTGTCTCCTTTCAGCCCCCTTTCTTTCAAAAAATTATCAAGATTCCCATAACACTAATCCTTCTCTGTATAATTCAAAGTTGCCATCTTAAGTTTCCAGTGTCTAAATCATTTTGAAATGGGGCTAAATGGTCAAATTCAGGTCCTAAGAAGGGTCTCTGAGATACTGCAAAGGCTGAGAAGACAAAGAAGGGAGCACAAAGAAGCTGTTCATCTTGAAAACACTGAATCATGACACTGACACTTATTATGAACAAGGTCTTTTCTAACTGATTTGGATAGCTGAGCTAACTCAGGCACATGGTCATTGTTTCTACAATATGCTTGCTTCTTTTGTAACCACATATTCCAGAAATTAGGTAGGCCAAGAGTCTGATCCTCTCTGATGCCCTGAACTTATATCCTTATTCAGCAGGAAATAGTTCCAGAAGGTGGACTTCCACCATTGCCCCTCAAGAATGAGGGACAGGATATAGCCTGAGAAGAGAATTGTTATGGTCCAGTAACTCTAAGTTCCTCATCCTTGCCCTGTTCATCCTTGCTCTGTTACTGTTTATCTTCTTGGGAGAAAAAAAAACTACAGAAAACCAGGCAAAACCTGCTGAAATCACAGCAATCAAAAAGATAAACTCACTCATGCCTTTTGCAGCAACATGGATGGAGCTGGAAGGGACCATACTTAGTGAAATAAGCCAGAAAGAAAAAGAAAAATTCCAGATGGTTTCACTCATAACAGGTGTATATAGGGGGGACAAAATAATAAATAACTATATACCAGAGACATTTTACCAGGGTAGCATGAGGAACAGGCTCAAAAACGAGGGGTGGTGAGCAGGTAGTGCACTAGACTATGGTGATGGCACACGGGTGATTTGGTGATGGGAAGCACACGGGGATTACAACTGAAATGGAAAAAGGCACAAAATGATGTAAAAATAAACTATTATATTATTTTTTTAAGTGAATTGAAGGAAGGTACAAATAAATAACTTTTTCCTGTTTAAAAAAAAAAGGCTGAGATCAAATGGAGGTAGAAGTCAGACATGGGCTAAGCCACCACCTCATTATCATAATGAAGAGCATGCACCTATACCATGACAGACCCAGCCTAAACATGCAAGAAAATGACTGCAGGAACCTTGCCTATTTCTCTGAGATACTGTTGACACAGATCCTTTAGCTTCTCCCCCTTTCCCACCTAAGTCCCTGCCTTTCCCCAGCTCAGAAAGATGGCGACTGAGACAATAGTCGGCTATCTCCTCAGGTTGCCAGCTTCCCTAAATAAAACTAATTTCCTCCCACCAACTCTTATTTGTCTCCTGAGTGGCAAGTACCCAGACCTTCACTCTAATAACAACTTAATAATAGCTGGTTAATGTTTGGCACATTATTTTAGCCTCTCTCAGGCTTGATCTTCTCACCTATAAATGAAAACTATAGCATTTACTGAGGATGAAAATATATGTAAAAATATCATTTCATTATCATTATTAATAAATAAACAGCTTCCCCAGTACTGGTATATACAGGCAAGATAAATAGCAATTATTATAAAATATTAACATTTTGATATGTAAATACTGTCATAATTTCATAATCTACTATTTAGATTACTAACATCCATTAAATTCCCCTGGGTATTATAAGACTGTGAGTCCATCATCTCCATGTGACTTTTGTCAGAGCATATATATAATCTGTGCATTTGGGAAAAAAGGAAAAAACACAAATACCAAGGAATCAATGACTATTTCAGACACTTTTACCCTATTCTGTCAATATTGTTGAATTTTCACATAATACCCCAATAAAGAGTGCCCTGGTCACAGAGGTAGGCAACTACCAGAAGAACAATGAACTGCAGG